GATGACTGGTGTTTGTCCTTATTAGTTCCTTGCTTGCAGGAAATAGCATTCATACATCTCAAGTCAAGAGTCAAGTTTACGACAGGTCTCAGCTCCAAGAATGTTTGATGCATTTCTGTTGACAACATAAAATTCCACAGCATAAGTTTGACCATCATGTTGCTACGGTTTTGTCGTCATTCCATTTGTCATGATTTATGTCCAGAATAAGACTTTAGTGAAGCATTTGGTTTCTCTAGTGATGCTTTAATGTTGAGTTTGTGATAAGTGTCTCTAGTAAGTTCATTACACTTTGCACCTGTGTCCATGAGAAACTGTACATCTGTGTTGTCTAACTGTAAGGTTGTTGTCCAATTATCTATGGTACTGAAATCAATGTCAATTCATTCCTAGAAAAAATCTTCACAGTCCGAGTCATTCTCGTCGGATTCAGCAACCATGAGCATTGAACAACTCTTTTGTATTCCTGGACGCTTTCCATGGAATTTTCCTCGCTGTACTTAAGTTGAACGAATTTTGTCCATTTTTCCTCTTTACGGAAAATAAAGCAAAATCCAAATAGTTTGAGACGTCAAAGACATTGTGCATTTTTCACATTGTATTTAAAAGAAATCGACTAAAATATCAAATTTCTATGTCCAAATTGGTTTAAATCTAAATTTTTGAATGGGTAAAAAGAGACCATATGATTTAAACATTTGCAAGGATGACAACAAAAGCGCCGAACTTTCTGACTCATATCCGTGAATTTCAATGTGAAAAAGAACATAACTGCATGTTCTGTTATCTTCTAAGGCTTTTAATACATGCAAATTATTTTTGTTTCTTCTGAAACGCCATAATGTAACACACAGTAAATAAGTGATCAAATATTCAAATAGTAGCCATTTTATTGATGGAAATTTTTCAATTGACCACAAATAAATACCTAGTATAAATCAGGGAAAATACTTATGTCGATGTTGTTTTATTACCGTGACTACACGTTAGCATTAGTACAACATGACCTTTTTTTGTATTCATATGAAGTAGAATTTGTCTAAAATCTTATACGGGAAAAGAAGAAAACACTTGCTGTGGCCTTCAACTCTGCATTTAGATATATCGACGACGTATTGTCAATTAACAATAGTTATTTCCATTCTTATGTCGATATATCCCGGTGAGCTTGATATAAAAGATACTACAGAGTCTGACACAGCTGTTTCATATTTGGATATTTTACTAGAGAAAGACGTTAATGGTAATCTAACAACCAAACTTTATGATAAACGTGATGACTTTAACTTTTCAATCGTCAACTTCCCTTACTTTTGCAGCAATATACCTTCATCAACTGCATACGTGGTTTATATCTCTCAGTTGATTCGATACGCAAGAGCATGCTCTACGCATGCACAATTTCTAAAACGAGGTAAATTACTGACAAACAAGTTGATGAAACAAGAATATCAGCAGTCTCGTTTAAAGTCATCATTTCGTAAGTTCTATGGTCGATACAATGACCTTGTCAGCAAATACAATTTATCATTGAGTCAAATGCTGACTGACGTTTTTCATACTAATTGTTAGGCCATTATTTACACACTGAATTGTAGACGTATTTTTCCGTTATTTCCTGATCATGACAAGGAGCACACGGCGGGTGTGACCGGTCGGCAGGGGATGCTCATTCCTCCATGGCACCTGATCCCACCTCTGATTTTTTGGAGGTCCGTGTTTGCTCTGCACCTATTTTGTAATGTTTAATGGGCTTTTGAGCTTGAATACTGTTTGTTATCTTCATATATTTCATTTATAAGATGAGACAATGTTCTGTAACAAATTGACCTTAAATTTACAAATTATTTAAACAATTTAACAACAAAAATTCATTTAAGAATAAACTTTGAAATTACATTAAGAAGCAACATTGAAAAGTATTAAAATAAAGTAACACATAAATAAATACGAAATTAAGAGAACACAGGACGTAGCTAATATAGACTAGAGGGATATTTGCTGATGTACATGTAATAATGGCCATTATTGCTAAGTTTGAACAGTCACTTGTCTCAAAGTAAATAAAAACTATTGGATAATGTCAAACTAGCCAATGAAATTAAAGATATAAAATCACCTCAACTCTGAAGAGCAGAAAAGATGGCCAACGTTTTGGGTCTTACGTTCGTGTTAACTGGAATTTCCACTATATTTGGTGAGTAGGGGTAAGAAATGGAGAAGGAATACTTCGTTTCTTATCGGTATATCTTATATTTCGTTCAGGTTCGCCATGATATAGTCAGGATATAGTCAGGAGGACGCAGTAAACGAAACTAGAAATAATTTGGCGATAATGAGTTGACAAATTATACCGTGGGAATTTAAGTTTCTTTGTTTTTACTTCCTTATAACCGTGGTTATTTATATCCACATATAAAGGAGTTATTATGTCTAGGTGCAAATCTGTGTAATTTACACACCAATCTTTCACACGAAACTTCAAAACATTCCTCATATTAACATTTTAAATGTTTAAAAGTACCAAACATAATTTAATGTTTGAATTTCTCGCTTCCCTAGGCTATATCGTTATATTTTTATTAACGACTGATTGTGACGTCACTTTCGCGCTAGTTTCTCCGTGTATATTTCTACGCGTGAGTATACACGAAAATGGCATTCAAATCAATTTCATAACTGGTTAAGTAGAAAAACACAGCAATTGTAAATATTTGAGGAATTTTTAAAAAGTTTTGTGTGAGTTATTGGTGTACGTACGCACTGTAAATCGCACAGACTTGTCACGTAGGCATTTTTCATGAAGCGCGCTAAAGCTTCATGAAAAATATCCCTACGTGCAAGTCTATGCGATTTACACACCAATAATTCACACTCAACTTAAAAACATTCCTTATATTTACATTTTACATGTGTTAATGCACCAAAAATATACTCAATGTTTAAATTTCTTGCTGCCCTATATCGTCATTTTTTTTATTAACGTCTCTGCTGCCTCATTATGACGTCACTTTAGCATGAGTTTCTCTATGTATATGAGTATACACGAAAATGGCTTTCAAATCAATTTCATAGCTTGTTAACTAGGAAAACACAGCAAATGTAAATAGTTCAATTTATAAGAGAGTTCTTAAATATCAATTCGCACATACAGTACACTAACATTTTGAATTAGCTTCTAAATAAAAGAAACCAAGTAATGTTGTCTTTTTTAATGAAACCCAATCTTTGTTTGACTAGAAAATCCTTTTGTTTTGTAAATTTATTGTAAATAGTGTATATATATTTACATTTGATAATCATTCGTCAGTCGTTGATGTAAGTCAGTGACTTTAACTTAAATTGCTTTCTTTAATCGACAGAACTGTACAAGATTGAATCTTTATTCAGAAACGTCAGCTTTCAAAACAAAAAGCAGCAATAACAACAACAAAACACACACACCCTCAAACACACACAAAATGCAAAACGCAGCAAAACAAAACAGAAAAGAACAAAATAAATAAAATAAATAAAAAACAAAACAAACAAACAAACAAAAAAGCAAAAAAATTGCAAACAAACAAAAACAACTTACTAGTACCTAAAGAGCGTATAATACTATTTGTGTCCATTTCATGTGCCTTCGTCAGAATGTTGTCTCTCTAAGATGGTTTTTCATCTGCATTCGATAACTTTCTGCAAAAAACTTAAATGAACTCACTTTTGATCTCAGTCTTACTCATACAAAATAAAAAGTCGCCCGCGTGGCGCAGTGGTTAGAGCGTTTGCTCTTGAGTCGTGGAGTAAGGAGTTGATCCTTACGTCGCGGGTTCGAATCCCACTGTGGACGTGGAGACCGGTCCTTCGGATGAGACCGTATAAACCGAAGTCCCGAGTCGCAGTTGGTGCTGGCACGAAGAAGATCCCTCACTGCTCAATGGCCCTGAGTGCCGAGTATAGGTCAAAATTTGCAGCTCTCCACCGGCAAGTGGTGGCTCTCCATATGAGTGAAAAATTGAGCGAGAGGGATGTTAGACAATAAACAAACAAAAAGAAAGCAGAATCAAAGTAAAAGATAGTGAAATATTGAAACAGATCAAAAGTGAGTTCGTCTAAGTTTTAAGTTCACGGAGCCAGATTCTTCTTTTTTCCATGTTCTTTGTAAACAAGATTTATGTGCTCTTAAATAATGAAATTGATGAACAATTCAGTTCATATGAACCTGAAGCACATTTGCAGCTCTGTTCTGCAGCAAGTCAAATAATGAAGAGGGCGTGTTTGTATAGAGCATTTATTACAAATGCCAAATGAGATTACAAATTTTACAATATCAGAATGCAGCAGAATATGGGGCCCAAAAAATATCCCACACCTTATACAAAGGAAAACCAGTACATGTATTTTCTACACAATAACAATATAAATGGAGGATTAAAGGGGTGGAGGTGGGTAAAATTTGTAAACCACCTTTTCGGAGCCAAAAGTTATTTTGATAAGGATGAGGCTACTAGCCGTAACTAGATGGCGCTTAAATATAAAACCCGGAAAAACCCCTCAAGACCCATGAATTGACACAAAATAGTGATAACTAAAAATAACACAATCTTGTATGTATTTAGATCACATAAATTCATTTATATACATAAATATACCTAATATATTCGGATCGACATTTTCGGGGAAAAAATAATGACGTATATTTGTATACATATGTTCAATATGCCAGGTAACATATACTGGATTGAGGCTGAAGATACACGTAATGTTGTAGTGCTATGGAAAATATTGTTGCATGAAAGTCACTTTAATAGAGAGCCTTTAAGACCTACACACTATGCCAGTTTATACCTTGCAATGCTTACATCTCTCTCTCTCTCTCTCTCTCTTTTTGAAGATGTTATCTCGTGTTTTTTGTGGTAAGCACATAATATATAAAAGGTAAATTTAGTTGTTTTAAAAAAGATCATATGATATTTAATCCAAGTTACAAAGAACGATCGATTTTACAAATGACAGTTATGGATTTTCTTTCAGTTGATGCCAAGAATCCAGATATTCTGGGTGAAATTGTACCTGAGGTAAAGCAAAAGAATCAGATAGGATACCTGAACTGTACAGTAGTGAACAAGGGCCCAGAGTCAGTGGTAAGTAGAGAACAAGGGCCCAAAGTTTAATTTGTGGTAAATAATCAACAAGGGTTCATAGTCTCTCGTACTCCAATGTAGTGAACAAAGGAGGCTCAGAATTTGTGGTAAGTAGTGAATAAGCGCTCAGAGTTTGTTGTATGTAGTGAACAAGGGCTCATAAATTGTGATTAGAAGTGACTAAGTGCTCAGAAATGAACAATGGCTCAGAATTTGGTTAGTAGTCAACAAGGGCTTAGAGTCTGTCGTATGTAGTGAACATGGGCTCAGAGTCTGTGGTTAATAGTTAAAAATTGCTCAGAGGCAGTGGTAATTAGTACACAAGTAAGTAATCAAAAAAGTCTCAATTACTGTCGTATGTAGTGAACAAAGGCTCAGAATTTGTGGTAAGTAGTGACCAACTGCTCAGAGTGAACAAGTGCTCAGAGTTTGTGGTTATTAGTCAATTAGGGCTTAGAGTCTGTCTTATGTAGTGAACAAAGGCTCAGAGTCTGTGTAGTGTACAAGTGTTCAAATCTGTAGTAAGTAATGCACAGGGTTCACAGTCTGTTGTATGAAGGAACAAGCGTCCAGATTCTCTGTTGTGATCATGCGCTCAGATTTTCTGTAGTGTACAAGGGCTCGGAGTTTGTGCTAGGTAGTGATCAGATGCTCGTAGTCTGCGGTAACTTGTGAACAAGGGTTCAGACTCTGTAGTAAATAGTAAACAAATGTTCAGATTATGTGGTAAATAGTTAACAAGGGCTCAGAGTCTGTGATAAATAGCCACCAAGGACCCGGAATTCGTGTAGTGAAGAAGGGCCCAGAGTCCAACGCTCAAAGTCTGTGGCAAGTTGTGAACAAGTGCTCAGAACGTGTGGTAAGTACTTGAACAAATTAACATACGACTGGCATGAAGTAGTTCAAAATTATAGATATCTTCTTTTTAAAAATTCATAGGATCTTTGAGGGAAATTAAGTTGAGGGGTCTCATTGTAAAAAAAAATATAGAAAATCTTTTATCTTAACAGCTAGATTATGACGTAAACAGACAATACACCTTTTTTTATTGAGGGTGTCGTCAAAACTCTTTTTAGGTTCAATGGACAAAGTCTCCAACAGTTGATGGAGGAAACACTATTTTGTTAAGTGAAGATGATACAATAGTTTACCAAGGTCAGAAAATGCCTTTGGACATACAATATCTCAATCTGATTTACTTAGTATTTTTCTTCTCTCCTTTCATCAAGTAAATGTACCGGTATTCCCTACCCAAGTAATAAATGTTCTGTACATATTTTAATATTTTTCATCAGATTACAATTTCTTTTCTTGGTGAAGTCAAATTGAATGAAATTGACATTCACGAAATTAAAATTAAATTAAAAGCAATAAAAATTTTTAACTTCGGATTTTTTAGGTCACCTGAGTCACTCAGGTGACCTATTGCTATCCGTTCTCGTCCGTCGGCGTGCGTCGTGCGTCGTACGTCGTGCGTTAACATTTGAACATTTTTAGCTTCTTCTCTGAAACCGCTCAACCAATTTCAACCAAATTTGGCATATAGCATCTATGGGTGAAGGGAAACAAAAATTGTGAATTTTATGGTCCCTGCCCCCCCTGGGGCCTGAGGGGTGGGGCTAAAACCACCAAAAATAATGCAATCTTTAAAAATCTTCTTCTTTACTCCAGAACATCAAGCAGTCAAACTGTTGGCATCATTTTAATAAGCATTGAGCCCTCTACCAAAATTGTGAAATTCATGGCCCCTGGGTCAGGGGTTCTGGCCCCAGGGTGGGGCTATATAGATCATATAGTGAAAGTGCATTATTTCTTTGAAAATCTTCTTCTCTGCTCCTGGATATTAAATAATGTAACTAAGTATATAGTTATGATGAGCAAGAGAGCCTCTTCCAAAATTGTGAAATTAATGGCCCCAGGGTCAGGGGTTCTGGTGTTAGGGCAGGGCTCTATTGATTATATAATGAAAATGCATTTATTCTTTGAAAATCTTCTTCTCTGCTCCTGGATATTTAATAAAGTAACTAAGTACATAGTTATGATGAGCTAGAGTATCTCTTCGAAAATTGTGAATTTCATGGCCCCAGGATCAGGGGTTCTTGTGTTAGGGCGGGGCTCTATCGACTATATAGTGAAAATGCATTAATTCTTTGAAAATCTTCTCCTCTGCTCCTTGGCATTAAGGTGATATACTAAGTACATAGTTATGATGAGGAGGTGGGCCTCTTCCAGAATTGTGAAAGCCATGGTCGCAGGGTCAGAGGTTCTGATGTTAGGGCAGGGCTCTATTGATAATATAGTGAAAATGCATTAATTCTTTGAAAATCTTCTTCTCTGCTCCTGGGTATTCTTTAAACAAACTAAGTGCATGGTTATGATGCATAAGGATGCCTTTTCAAAAATTGTGAATTTCATGGCCCCAGGGTCAGGGGTTCTGGTGTTAGGGCGGGGCTCTATTGATTATATAGTGAAAATGCATTGATTCTTTGAAAATCTTCTTCTCTGCTACTGGAGATTATTTAAACAAACTAAGTGCATGGTTACGATGCATAAGGATGCCTTTTCAAAAATTGTGAATTTCATGGCCCCAGGGTCAGGGGTTCTGGTGTTAGGGCGGGGCTCTATTGATTATATAGTGAAAATGCATTGATTCTTTGAAAATCTTCTTCTCTGCTACTGGAGATTATTTAAACAAACTAAGTGCATGATTATGATAGGCAAGGATGCCTTTTCCAAAATTTTTAAATATATGGCCTCAGTTTTTGGGGTTCTTGAGGAAGGGGGGGGGGAGGGCTCTATTGATTATATAGTGAAAAAGCATTAATTCTATTAATTAATCATTAATTAATCCTGTCTGCTCCTTAGCGTTGAGCTGATAAATAAATTGCTTAGCTATGATGAAAATGGGAGCTTCGATCAGAATTTTTAAATCTTGTGATCCTAGGGTCAGGGGTTCTGGCATAACGAGGGGGGGGGGTTGATAATATAGTGGAATAGTGTTAATTCTTTGAAGTCCATAGTTACGATGATGAGGGTAACTCTTCCAAATTTGTAAATTTCTTGACCCTTGGTCTTGGGTTCTGGTGTTAGGGTAAGGTTTTGTTGAATCTGTAGTGAAAATGCATTGTACCTGTGAAATTCTTCTCTGCTTCTGGGCATATCGGAAGAAATTTAAATGATATAAGTAAGTGTATTTCTACCAGATTTTTGAACATCTGGACCATTTGTCTAAGCATTCTAGTCCTGGGCAGGGCTCTGTTAATTTGTATTCTACTGAGAGAAATTATTCCCCTTTTCCATTCACCTTTGATAATTAATCACTGTAAATAATGCATTTGGAAGGTTAATAGAATAGATAATTATGCAAGAATGTTTATCATATAATTCAAAAAGTATTTTTTTAGTTTTAATAATCAGGTAGACCTGCAAGTAATAGATAAATAAAAATGAGACAAAAATAACTTATCTTACTAAAAGTTCTTCAAAGACCATAAGAGAGGTCAATGCTAGAGGTCTTAATGGACTTTTGCGAGAAGCACTGACTTTTACAGTCGACGGTTAACTTTTACACCAGGACCATATATGGAAGCTCTTTTGCAATATAAATATTTAGATTAAAAGTTAAATAAAAGGTTATTATGGGCCATTACAAAGAGCATATAAAGTTTTCTCAGCAACCATCTCCCTTCAAACCTTAACCAATTCCTGACTAATTTTCCTTCCGGAATGTTTCTCTTCCTTATTTGATTCCTTGAGAAAATGAAATTGAAAGTAGATACTATTTCTCACGAAATAAGTATTTTAAGTTAAGTTATTCTGTCTCACATCATCTCTTGTGTTAATTGTATACCGGTAAATCATGTAAGCACTCCTAATACCATACCAATACTCACTAATAAAGTTTCATTATCTATGATCAATTCCGTACCTCCATATATAACACAGGTTTAAATGCCAAAGTAAGCCATCAATTGTAAAAGTCAGCGCTTCTCGCAAAAGTCCAATATGGGTTTTAAATAGTACAGAAGCACTAATAGTTTGTTAATAGTCTGCATGTGATAGTGTTAAGTGGAGGACAGATTAGAACTTAATTTATGACTTGATACTGAATACTAGACTAATTATTTTGTTGATCCTGATCTTCCTACTTCTCTTGCTTTAGGGCAACAAAGCTTCATCTATCAGTGTATTTAACTTCTAAATTGTTGTATTATACTCAGGTGACCGTTAAGGCCCTTGGGCCTCTTGTTTTTCTGGAATTGTTGAATACGTTCTCTAATTGTGAATAAAATTAAGAGAAATAGATATACGAACTTGTTTATTTGCAGGCTTAGCATATTCAACATATAAATCTGTTTTTTTGAATGTTTGACATACTTGACATATGACTTTGTTATTCATTGGTTGGCATACAAAACATACCAACTTGTTTATTTTCAGGATCCAATAAAGGGATAAATGAGGATTCAGGACTGCAAAAATACGATGTACAGAGTCGTACAAACGGAAGAAAAATTACCTACATGTTAGTGATCCGCTATCTAGCAGAGGAAGATGCTGGAGATTATTGTTGTACAATAAAGATCCAAGGTGTGGAGTGGACAGACTGGCCTAATAAGATTGGCAAGCTTACGGTGCAGAGAAAGTGATCATAAATGTTAATATATCAGTTTATTTTCATATATTGTATATTTTATCTATTTACATATTATAAGGACAGGTCCGAAAGTAAAGTCACCAATGATATAAAATTAGAGAAAATTATCAGCAAAATCTTTAAGTCTAATATCACTATCCACTGAATATTGTCTAAAATTTCCATTATTCATATATAGATATAACACTTTTCAAAATATAAAAATTAATTGAATGTTGTTAAACGTTGCATTCGAGAATTTTTCACTCATATAGAGACGTCACTGTATTTCGGGAAAGGGCTTTAAATTTGGACCTATACTCGGCACTCGGGGACATTGAGCAATGAGGATTCTTTATCATGCCAACGCCTACCGTGACATGGGGCCTCGTTATTTATGGTCTCATCCGAAAGGCCTATTACTTTCACTTAGGCTCTTAGCGAAGGAACAATTACTTCCTGTGTATCTTAGGTTGACGCGGCGCGAGAATCGAACCTGCGCCCTTCCACTAGGCTACCGTGACCGGTGGATATAAAGGTAAAAACACAAGGTTCCACAACTCTCTAAAATCTCGTATACGTGTTTTATTCAATCTGCATAACCAATCTGTATAAGAGCGTCTTGCTCTGAGTTGTTCCGTCTACTCTATCAATACTAGGACTCACGGCGGGTGTGACCGATCAACAGGAAATGCTTATTCCTCCTAGGCACCTGATCCCACCTCTGGAATTCCCGGGGGTCCGTGTGTATGTTACAGATTCACAGATGTTCACAGATTCGTATTGTTTGTAGTTTTATGAGATCGATAACTGTTCGTTATCTTCACTTTTTTTCTTCATTTTTTTGTTTTATGAATATAATTTGAATTGTTCAAAAGTCCATTTACCTGTTTATTCCATTGTGTGTGATCTTCTCGTGTAGCCTCGGACTCAAGAAAAGTATGTTTAAGAATGGATGATCCTCAATGCACGTTTTTCGTCCTCGCACCTATTTATCTATTGACTTTCATTTAAACTCATTGGTTTTAATCCCAAATCTGGTAATCGAACCTTTACTACCCTCTCCCTTTCAGAAGATGAAATTCCTGGAAATCACCTTTCAGTTTTAAATATGTTTAACATTCCAGCCAATGGAAGTGACTTTGATTTACCTATACTGATCTAAAAAGAAAAACTTACAAAAATATAAATCTGTGAAAAGGGTATAAAACACGGACCCTGGAATATTCCATTGGTGGGAGAAGGGATCCCCTGTCGACCATTCGCATCCGTCGTGAACCCTATGTATTATTCAGGAACAAGGAATATTCCTTAGTCAGATTTAGTATAAATTCAATGGCCTTACAATTGGTATTTAAAATATGATAGGCAAAATACTACTCATTGATAGGTATACTCGGTCATTATAACGACCGTAAAATCTACAACATGCTAACTTTAAACGAGATTGTCAGTTGGTTGTCTGACTCGGTTAAAAAACTGATCGTACTCAGAGCATGCAGAGTATCGAATAAGATGGGAGACATAAACACCATATGCAGGTGAAAGCGGTATACTTTTACATAAACAAGGAAAGTTGAGCACGGGAAAAGTTTAAGTCATCTCGTTTGTCATACAATTTAGTTGTTAGTTGGTCCTTATCGTCTATAGTCAGTAAAACATACAGATATGAAACAGTTGTGGCAGATGCTGTAGTGCCTTATATTTGGTGTTAACTTGGGTATATCGAGTCGACGTATGTGTATGAATTGAAGTAACTATTGATAACTGATAAAACTTCGTCGATATAACTGAATGTCGACTTGAAGGCCTCAGCAAGTGTTTTCTTCTCATGTAGAAGTTTGTTTTTGAATAAATTCTTCTTCACATAGAAATATTAAAACAGGTCGGCTAATATGGAGCACAATTATGGTCCGTTGGAATTCCAGTTTGCTGGAAGACCTGGTCTCCAAAGACTACATCGATGTTGTCAATGAGGAACTCCAGCATCTGTTTAATATCAACTTTAAAGTACTTGCGTGTAGAATCATAGTGATTTTCAATAAAGTTAGAGATCAGTGTTTGCTTTGCTCACAATTAGTGTTTTTTAAATGAACTTTTGAGCTTATTTACCGTTCGTTATCTTCATATTACACTCTGATTAGTCATCTACAAAATTGTTAAAAATCATTCTGGTTCTACCGATCAGTACTTAAAAGTTGATATTAAAAAGATGCTGGAGTTCCTCAATGAATACTGATGTAGTCTTTGGAGACCATGCAAGTATTCTAACAATTTGTTGGAAATCCCATGGGTACTACTTGTGTCCATTTTTTAGCCAATTTTTTTTTTTATATTCTCATGAAGCACAGTTTATTTTTTAAAAAAACTTTTTACATTGAAAGAAGAAATCTTTTGTCCTTGCGTTCGATTTGCAAGTCTGATTTATCAATCAACAACATTTATTCATACTTTGATTTGAAATATCTCTTAAAATTAAAAAAAAAAAAAACACCACAAAGTCTGACTTCTCCATTTCATATTTTGATAGACTAGTGATAGACATTGATGGCACATTAACAAATTATCTTCATGATAAACGTAATGACTTTAAATTTTCTGTCATCAACTTTCCATACACCATTATTACCTGTATATGGTGTTTACATCTCCCCTGATTGTTTCGATATAAACAGGACCATGTTCTATATACGATTAATTTCTAAAGCAAGGCAGCTACTGACAAATAAGTTAATGTTAAAGGGATATCAGCGTTGTAGTTTCAAGTCAACATTTTGAAAATTTTATGGTTTTTATTGACCCTTGGCAAATACAATCTATTGCTGGACTCAATTGTCAACCAGTTGTTAGGACAATATTTTCATACTGAATTGCCTAAATGTTACTCCGTTCACCCAAACAAGACAAAAAGGGGGGTTGTGACCAGTAGACAGGGGATGCTCACTTCTCAATGACGCCTAATCACGTCTCTTGTCTGTGTTTACTCTGCTTCCAATCTGTATTGCTTTAATGTTTTAGTAACCTTGGTTAATGTTTTTATTTTACATTGTATTTTGTGAAATATAACTTTTATGCTAAACAATTTAATGATAGAATATTCTAATAAAAATTCATTATATATTTTTTTCCAGTTGCGCCTCAAATTTTACCGAGTATTAATTCAGTTTATGAACTGGATATTGGATCTAACCTTCAGCTGGTCTGTGAGGCACATGGAATTCCGTCACCCAACATCACATGGAAGAGGGAAGATGATCAAGAATTATCAATGGGAGGATTCCAGACAAGGGTAAAAAAATTAATGTTCTTAAATTAAGTGTAAATAAGAAAAATCTCTTGTTTTAATCTGGAGTTATTCATGTGCAGTTTGAAATTTCGGTTTTCTAAAAACAGAAAAAGGTGGCAGATGAAATAATTGCAGACATTATAAAGAAATTACTTGTTTGATTATACATATGCATAATAAAAAGAGAATTCATTTTTAACTTTCTGACCAGATTGCAGTGTAACTGTCGACGTTTATTTTAAACGAATGAATTAAAGTATGTAACAACATTTTTTTCTCTAGATTTGTACATTGTATAACATTTTATAGGGAGCCCAGTTGAATCTGACCGACATTCAGAAGAATGATCGTGGTAACTACATCTGTGTAGCTGATAATAATGTCAAACCTCCGGATGATTTCAAAGTGGAAGTGGTTGTCTTCTTCCCTCCTGCCTGCAGACCAGTACAGTCCACAGTGGGTCAGGCACAGAACAGAAGATTTAATGCTAAACTTGAGTGCATTGTTGCAGGTAAATACAATTAAACTTTAAAATATAATGGGAAATGATGTACATGTATATCATTATAACAAATGTTTAGTGGATGGATAGGAAATGAAGTTCATGATAGCTTATACCTTATTTAGAACATTGAATACCATTACCATCATCTGCCATCTTCATACTTTCATGAAGAACTGTACCGAATCTGATTATTTAACTATACTTTTTATGAGAATGGGAAATTTCTTAACATTGTCATTAAATGAGTTGCTATGTGTAACTGCCTGTGCATTGGCCTCCATTTCTTATATTTCTTTGTTGAAGCATTATACTTTCCCATTTTAAATTTGTTTATGCTTCGGCTTTATGTACAGGATTTCCTCAGCCTAGCATGAGATGGGTGAAGAAAACAGAAAGTGGAAAACGCACGGAAATTACGGACGATGATAAATATGACATCACCAAACAGTTTAGCAGTCAGCTTCAGAATGATGAGTTTTGGTACACACTGCTTGTGAAGAATGTACAGGCTAAGGACTACACTAATTATTATTGTGTGGGAAATAACAGATACGGAGTTGGAGAAACAGTCATCATATTGTATGGTTTGTATAGCTTGTTAATTAGATGCATGAAGTAGCAGTTTAATTGTCATGGAATAATAAATGACCTTTAAAGCATAACATATTGTAAAATGCTTATGGGATGTATTTTCCACGGAATAAAGAACTATAATAATAATAAATGAAACACTTGTAGAGCGCCCTATTTAATAAAAAATACTCTAAGGCGCTTAACAATAAGATTATAGAAGAGTTAAATAAAAATAGGAAAATCAGATATTTGCATTTGAGACATTTAAAACTCAGGAAAAGCAGTCTTAAAAAGTATGTTTTTAGCAATTTTTTAAAGCATCCACACTTTTTGCCAATTTTATGCGTATTGAAAATTCATTCCATAAACAGGCGGCAGCTCAACTAAAAGTCCGTTCTCCAAAAGTCTTAGTTCGAACTTTTGGAACTACAAGTCTTTTTGAAGTTTCCAATCTTAGTGATCGAGCTGGCTTATAAACTTCAGTAAGTTCTTGAAAAACTGAATTGAACTGAAACTGAAACTCTGTAAAATTATTTTTTTTTTCGTGAGGGTTGAGGACAAAATAGTGGTTTTTAGGAATTTGAATTCATGGTTGAACAAGAAGTGGAACATTGTCTTGATTACGAATTTAACAATTCGTGGAGGACATAGATTCGAGGGTCTCTTTATACAATGAAAATTAGTGTCTACATAGTATATTGATATCCGTAAAACTACCGTATGTATGATTTTTTACAAGATGAAATATACTTGTAAGTAAATTTTTCTGGGTACATGGAAGGTTGCATATGTATGATAAAATAAAAATCAGCAGTACTTTAAACTCATTTTTCATATTTCTATCACAGCTCCTTATTGTTAATTTCCAGAGACCATAGAATGTCAAGCCTACAATTGCCCGAGTGCTCATATATCTGTGGACGTGTTCCTGTCACCTGTGCTCGGCTATAATGAAAATTATGGTATGGGTTATAAATTTGGTGAATTTACTTTACTTTTAAATTGATTAATTATTAAAATTGATACTCTCTAAGTTTAAATTAATAGTAAAATTTATAAATTATGAAGAAATGCAGAAATGAATGGTTATAATATATAATAAAGAACATACATGCTTAGTTTATGAAATTGTTGAATATTTAAATATATTATTATACTATTATTAAATATATTATTCTTTTGATTTTAAACGGTAAGGAAAACTGACAGAGGCATCTAATATGAAGTTATCTAACAATAATCATGCTAAAAAGTCCATTCAAAAGAGAATAGTCAACTTGGGCCTCTGAAAACAGAGGTTGGATCAGGTGCCATGTAGGATTAAGCATCCCTTGTCGACAGGTCACACATCCTGTGTGTTTCTTGTCATCATCGGGTAAATGGAAAAATCTGTAGATAATTCAGTATGAAAATAATGACATAACAATTTGTATGAAAGACACCAGTCAACAGTCGACCTAACGACTAATCATATTTGGAAAGAGGGTCCTTATATTGACCATAGAATTTTCAAAATGTTGACATTAAATGACTGTTAATATCCTTGTATCATCGACTTATTTGTCAAAAGCTTATTTTAGAATATATGTTTTTAGAAATTGTTTTATGCAAAACATGTTCTTGTGTATCGAATCAAATGGGAGACAAACTTCATATGCAGGTGATATTAGTATATTGTTACATAGAAAATAGAAAAGTTTTAGTAAAATATTCAAATAAGAAGCAGATGTGTCAGACTCTGTGTTGTCATTTATTTCGAATTCGATGGGGTATATCAAATCAACGAAGGAATTCAACTGACATTGTTCACTGATAAAACGATCTATCTAAATGTCGAATTGAATGCCACAGCAAGAGACTTTACCTTTTTTCATGTAGAAGTTTTTGATTAGATTTTGAATAAATTTTGCTTCATATGTATACAAAAAAAAGTCTGCTAAAAGGGGGCACAATTAGTATATATGGAAAATCCAACAGATTGTTGGAAGACTTGGTCCACAAAACTACATAGATTTATCAATGAGAAATTCGGGCATCTTTTTAATATTAACCTTTGAGTACTTGTGTGTAAAAACGACGACAATAGTTTCCTTTGATAGCAGTTGATGTACATGTACAATGTTTCATTTCCCATTAGAGATATCGATACTAGTAATTCATTGTTATACCAAGGCATTGCACCAGAAATAGAGTAATTCTGATCCGATAGCTCACGAAACGAAAATTTTACAATGGTTAGTTTATTTAACATCATTTACTTAATTCACCATTAATCATTGTCAATCTTTAAAGATAGGCTTACTTCACGCCATATATAGGCGATAATTCCAGCAATATCCAAATATGATATTTAAAATAGATTTCTAAGCTTTCTTGTGAACGTATGACAGAGACACAGCAGGTGTTAAGACCAATAATTACCCCCTTAGAATAATGACCGAAAGTCATTTTTCGACGTCAAAAAATCACTATCGGGCATTTTTCAACGTCGAAAAATGACCCTCGGTCATTATTCGACGTCGAAAAATGACCCTTTTGCCTGTAGAAAAAGTGGCATTGCCCTTAAAATCTGCGATAACATAAATGATTTTTGGATTTATTTTTTCATATTATTACCAAGATACAGTATTAAGTATGAAACTTTATTCTTTTTTCACATCATTGGCTTACACTTTCTCACTCACATTCATTCATTTTGGTCTGTGCAAGCATACTTGTTCTTATATTTTAACAGAAAGAGAGGAAAAAATGCATCAATCTAAACACTCTAAATTAAGTAAAGACTCACCTATTGTAACAGATTATAACTTATTAATATTGTCAAATAAATATTTCCATTTTTGCCAGGTATTATTAAACTTTTACTTTTCCGAATTCTGGCTTGCAATATATTTTTCAACCCTATATTTATTATACAAGTGAAAGAGAAGTCCCAGGAGACTTGGCAGTTTGCCCTTTTTTGACAAGTGAAATTATATTGTTTTATATGCAAGAACAGAAAATTTACGGGGAGAAAAATTACCCACGTAGAATTCTTTACACCGGACTCGCAGATGACGGACAAAGAAATTCTACGTGCTCGACAAGCTACACAGTGAAGAAAAATAGAAATGGCTTCAAGGAAATGTCACTTCATGGAAAGGTTAAATTTGATGTTTCCATTTGGGGTGCCGGAAATTTCTAGTCTGATGGGAAATCAAAATTTGCCTTTTAAAATTATGATGTCTTATCCTTTGGATAAAATTAATTCGAGGGTCATAATTTCGTCTAATGTTGTCTAAGATGAATAAAACTTCTTGTAGAGCAAATTCTTTTGCGTTCTTAAATTATGAAATGACGACTAATGACAGGAAGACCGCAATATTCTAATTTGAAGTTCCACGGTATTGTAGAATAATATACTAATTCAGGAAAGTAAATCAAATTTTAAGAGAAGTATTCATTGAAGTAATCAAATTTTAAAGTATTTACCGTCATGCATTAAAGTACATGTACTCTTTGAATGAAGATTAACTTGATATTTTTTCTTCATTTCTCTGACTTTCATTTGCAACCACAATTTAATTTATATCATATTTATGTACAACAACGAGAAGTGGTGTTATTCAGATGTGGATTCTTAAAAACTCCAAGGAACCTTTAGAAAATTCAAAATCACAAAATTTTACCAGAAGAATATCAATAGTATCAGTTAAAGTTAACCTTTTGCAAACTGTATGGAAGATACAATGACCATATTTGCAAAATATTTTTCAACCCTATACTTATTATACAAGTGAAAGAGAAGTCCCAGGAGAATTGTCAATAACTTACCTCGATTTAGAAATTGTTCAAACGTAGAGCATGCTTTTGCGTATCAAATAAACTAAGAGATATACACCCCATATGTAGCAGGTGATATGGAATAAATTCAAAAGATATTCAAAATTTTATTTCAAACCACAAGAATACTACATTATTTTTATTATAATAGAATAATTTTTGTCAAGAAAATTTCCCACAGAAAAGTTTTGTTTGTTATTAGATTTCAATCATAAGAGCTTTACTCTAAATACTAAATTCACAAACTGAATATGATTATTATACGTCTGAAGCTACATGTATAGGCTATCTGCACGCCTTATTCGCCCATCTCCTTTGACTCCAAGAATATATGCGATACTTACACAAAGTACATATGTAAATATATGTAGACTTACACAATGTAAGTATGTAAATATATGTAAACTACTGTTAATTGATTATACGTCATTGACAAATCTAACTGTTGAAGGCCACAGCACTTCCTCTTTTCATGTAGAAGTATTTGAATAAAATCTGCTTCATATGAATACAAAAATAGATCTGCTAATAACATGGTGCAATTAGAACCGTTGAGATTCCAACAGATTGTTGGAATACTTGATCTCCAAAAACTACATGTACATAGATATTGTCGATCAGAAAATGAAGCATCTTTTTAATACTAACTTCGCAGTGCTTGTGTAAAATCAGCTGTTTTTGAACAAAATAAGTTTGCAGATGACCAATGTCAAGATATGCAAGTTTACGAATTCCATTTTTATTGAAAAAGCACTTATTAAAAACTTTAATTTACCGTGCGGAATGATTGTATAAAGAGTCGAAAAGTCAAATGTTTTAATGCTAATTGATTTTAGTAAAAATTTTGTGACTTCTAAAGTTCCTTGGAAATCCTTTTATGTATCGAAATTAAGGACCCTACTATTTAACGTTTAAGTGATAGGTGTAGCTGTATATCGTATTTCCACTATTTAAAACTGTTACCAAAGTGTTACAAACATCACTATAGAAACACTTTGTAGTTTCCTGGTAGTATTTGCTGTGGCTGGGATCCTCTAGGTGGCATGACTCCAAGTGTAAGTATTGTAACATGACACCTAGTGTAAGTATTGTGACATGACACCTAGTGTAAGTATTGTGACATGACTCCAAGTGTAAAAATTGTAACATGACACCTAGTGTAAGTATTGTGACATGACTCCTAGTGTAAGTAATGTGACATGACTCCTAGTGTAAGTATTGTGACATGACTCCTAGTGAAAGTAATGTGACATGACTCCTAGTGTAAATATGGTAACATGACACCTAGTGTAAGTATTATAACATGACATCTAGTGTAAGTATTGTAACATGACACCTAGTGTAAGTATTGTGACATGACTCCTAGTGTAAGTACTGTAACATGTCACCTAGTATAAGTACTGTAACATGACACCTAGTGTAAGTATTGTGACATGACACCTAGTGTAAGTATTGTGACATGACTCCTAGTGTAAGTATTGGGACATATGACTCTTAGTGTAAGTATTGTGATATATGACTCTTAGTGTAAGTATTGTGACATGACACCTAGTGTAAGTACTGTAACATGACACCTAGTGTAAGTATTGTAACATGACACCTAGTGTAAGTACTGTAACATGACACCTAGTGTAAGTACTGTAACATGATACCTAGTGTAAGTACTGTAACATGACACCTAGTGTAAGTATTGTGACATGACACCTAGTGTAAGTACTGTAACATGACACCTAGTATAAGTACTGTAACATGACACCTAGTGTAAGTATTGTGACATGACTCCTAGTGTAAGTATTGGGACATATGACTCTTAGTGTAAGTATTGGGACATTTGACTCTTAGTGTAAGTATTGTGACATGACACCTAGTGTAAGTACTGTAACATGACACCTAGTGTAAGTAATGTGACATGACACCTAGTGTAAGTATTGCGACATGACACCTAGTGTAAGTACTGTAACATGACACCTAGTGTAAGTATTGTGGCATGACTCCTAGTGTAAGTATTGGGACATATGACTCAGTGTAAGTATTGTGACATATGACTCTTAGTGTAAGTATTGTGACATGACACCTTGTGTAAGTACTGTAACATGACACCTAGTGTAAGTACTGTAACATGACACCTAGTGTAAGTACTGTAACATGCACCTAGTGTAAGTAATGTGACATGACACCTAGTGTAAGTATTGTGACATGACCCTTAGTACAAGTATTGTGACATGACTCCTAGTGTAATTACCGTGACATTACTCCTAGTGTTATGAAATATTTGGAGATAACGAACAGTACTCAAGCTCAAATGTCCATTAAACAATACAAATCAGGAGCATAGCAAACACGGACCTCTAAAATGTCAGAGGTAGGATCAGGTGCCATTGAGGAGTAAACATCCCCTGCAGACCGGTCACACCCGTCGTTGCTCCTTGTCAATAATAAAAAAAATGGTCTTACAATTAGTATGAAAAATGTCAGTCAGCATTTGACTTAATGATAGATTGTATTTGCTGACATGGTAATTGTATCGACCATAAAACTTACAAATTGATGACTTTAAACGAGACAGCTGATATTCTTGTTTCATCAACTTGTTTGTCAATAACTTACCTCGATTTAGAAATTGTTCATACGTACAGCATGCTCTTGCGTATCGAATCAACTGAGAGATATAAACCCCGTATGCAGGTGATAAGGGTATATTGCTACAGAAGTAAGGTAAGTTGACGATTGAAAAGTTATCACGTTTATCCTAAAGCTTTGTTGTTAGATTACCATTAACGTCTTTTTCTTGTAAAATATCCAAATATGAAATAGATGTGTCAGACTCTGTGGTATCTTTTATTTCAAGCTCACCGGGATATACCGTGTCGACATGGGAATGGAAATAACCATTGTTAATTGACAATACATCGTCGATATATCTAAATGTCAAGTTGAAGACCAAAGCAAGTGTTTTCCTCTTTTCACGTATAAGATTTTGAACAAATTCTGATTCATATGAATACATTGTAAGTAATGTGTCATTACTCCTAGTGTACGTATTGTGACATGACTCTTAGTGTCAGTAATGTGACATGACTCCTAGTATAAGTATGATGACATGACTCTTAGTACAAGTGTTGTGACACGACTCTTAGTACAAGTATTGTGGCATGGCCCTTAGTACAAGTATTGTGACACGACTCTTAGTACAAGTATTGTGACACGACTCTTAGTACAAATATTGTGACACGACTCTTAGTACAAGTATTGTGAAATGACTTTTAGTACAAGTATTGTGACACTACTCTTAGTACAAGTATTGTGGCACGACTCTAAGTACAAGTATTATGACACGACTCTTAGTACAAGTATTGTGACACGACTCTTAGTACAAGTATTGTGACACGACTCTTAGTACAAGTATTGTGGCACGACTCTTAGTACAAGTATTGTGGCACGACTCTTAGTACAAGTATTGTGACACGACTCTTAGTACAAGTATTGTGACACGACTCTTAGTACAGGTATTGTGACATGACTCTTAGTACAAATATTGTGACACGACTCTTAGTACAAGTATTGTGGCACGACTCTTAGAACAAGTATTGTGAAACGACTCTTAGTACAAGTATTGTGACATGACTCTTAGTATAAGTATTGTGACACGACTCTTAGTACAAGTATTGTGAAATGACTTTTAGTACAAGTATTGTGACACCACTCTTAGTGCAAATATTGTGGCATGACTCTTAGTACAAGTATTGTGGCATGACTCTTAGTACAAGTATTGTGACAGGACTCTTAGTGCAAGTATTGTAACACGACTCATAGTGCAAGTATTGTGGCATGGCTCTTAGTACAAGTATTGTGGCATGACTCTTAGTACAAGTATTATGACCTGACTCTTAGTACAAGTATTGTGACATGACTCCTAGTATAAATATTGTGACACTACTCTTAGTACAAGTATTGTGACACGACTCTTAGTACAAGTATTGTGACACGACTCTTAGTGCAAGTATTGTGACATGACTCTTAGTACAAGTATTGTGACACGACTCTGAGTACAAGTATTGTGACACGACTCTTAGTACAAGTATTGTGACACGACTCTTAGTACAAGTATTGTGACACGACTCTTAGTACAAGTATTGTGGCACGACTCTTAGTACAAGTATTGTGGCACGACTCTTAGTACAAGTATTATGACCTGACTCTTAGTACAAGTATTGTGACATGACTCCTAGTATAAATATTGTGACACTACTCTTAGTAAAAGTATTGTGACACGACTCTTAGTACAAGTATTGTGACACGACTCTTAGTGCAAGTATTGTGACATGACTCTTAGTACAAGTATTGTGACACGACTCTGAGTACAAGTATTGTGGCATGACTCTTAGTACAGGTATTGTGACATGACTCCTAGTGTATGTATTGTGACATGACACTTAGTGTAAATACTGTGGCATGACTTCTGGTGTAAGTATTGTGACACTACTCTTAGTACAAGTATTGTGACACGACTCTTAGTAAAAGTATTGTGACACGACTCTTAGTGCAAGTATTGTGACATGACTCTGAGTACAAGTATTGTGGTATGACTCCAAGTACAAGTATTGTGGCATGACTCCTAGTGTATGTATTGTGACATGACTCTTAGTACAAGTTTTGTGGCATGATTTCTTGTGTAAGTATTGTGGCATGAATCTTAGTATAAGAATTGTGGCATGACTCCTAATGTAAGTATTGTGGCATGACTCTTAGTGTAAGTATTGTGGCATGACTCCTAGTATAAGTATTATGGTATGACTCCAAGTACAAGTATTGTGGCATGACTCCACGTGTAAGTATTGTGGTATAAATTCTGGTGTAAGTATTGTGGCATGATTCTTAGTGTGAGTACTGTGTCATTTCTCCTAGTGTAAGTATTGTGGCATGACTTCTGGTGTAAGGTATGTGGCATGACGTCTGGTGTAAGTATTATGACATGACTCCTAGTGTAAATATTGTAGCATGACTCCGAGTACAAGTATTGAGGCATGACTTAGGTTTAAGTATTTATTTAAATGCAAACAAGAGGCCAATGTGCCACATCGCTCACCTGATCACTTTGGTTAGGAAAAAACACAAATCAGTTCAGTATTGAAAAGTTTACGGGGGGGGGGGCTTGAATTTTAAACTACCTGAGGATGCTTCTATATCAATATAACAAATAGTTTTGTTGTTTTCAGCAGAATATTTATAAATAGATTTTCCCCTACATATTCCCTTGTAAAAACTTGACCCCCAATTGTGCCCCCCTCCCTACCCCTATCATTCATGATTTGAACACACTTGAAATCAAAACTACCTGATGATGCTTCCATATAAATGTGACTAATCATGGCTTTTCTGTTTTTGAGAAGATTTTTTTCCTTGGTACCATTGGACAGACTATCAAGTGGTAAACCTTAATTATATCATTGTTATCAGTAACATAATGGTTCACTTAGTACTATCAAATACAAGGTGATCAAGGCACCCTTGATTTTCTCAATGGAGATAAACAATCACAGATTTGGAATATTGAAGATTTATTGCATATATCACATATAAGATTCATGGTTAAAAAAGTGGATTTTGATAAACTACATACTTGTACAATAAACAAATAGTTCTGAGCACAGATATAAGGACATAGTTCAAGAAAATCAATGGAATGCATAAAACAGAATAATTAACTTAAATGTGTAAAACAAGGATGTAAAAGAACTACATACGAGAGGTTATCAAAAAGTTCGTGGACTAGCGCCATAAGTTTAAAACCGCTTTAGATACATCAATGAATTTTAAGACATTTAGTAAGCATCACCTTTTCTATCTATAGAATCAACCATACATCATAAGTTTTAATTTTTAATAAATTATTAATGTTTTTGTAAGCAATGGTATGTCCAGGCGGCGCAACCTCAAATATGACGTTTTTTCTGAGTATAATTGAGAAAAACTCTCTTGATATGAGCATTTGTCATAAAAAAATCCCGTTAATTCCGGAATGTGGTACGACACAATTGTTCCGTAAAATTTGCAATTTTTACCCCATTCTGTAAGTTCTATGAAATTTTATATGGAGTGTCCAAACAAATAAGGGTTTGATAATGACGTCAAAAAGGGGGAGGTTTTTTTTTCCCAACATTCTATACAGTTTCGCACCTGGAAAAACTGGTAATGACTTAGGGAATGTTTAAAGGGGCTACAGAAAAATAAAATGCATCTAGAGTACTTATTTTTAATACCCACAAAGATTCAGAGAGATGGAATACGCACAGTTAATGTCGATTTGTTGTCAGGGTGTCAAAAGTTAGTCACGTCGAGAGTGACGTTGATCAAGTGTGGTAGAAATTGAACTCCAAAAAGCTAAGTATTCTGGCATAATCAAGTGAGGATCTTTCCCGATGTATAGATTCATTTACAATATTATGTGCACTGAAATCAGCTGTTCATGACAGTGTAAAGTCATATAAACAAGACGGGCTTAGGCCCTTACTTAACTCCAGGTAATCTCATCAAGATAAGTGTATGGGGTAGAGAGAGCGGACATTGAGAAACAATGACGTTGTCGGACGTCATGAAACTAAACGGCGACAGCGCCGGGTGATCATATAATGTCTTTTTTATTTTAGAATAATTTGGCAAATTATCAACGTATCAAGCTAAAATTTTCAACATTTGTTAAACTTTTATTGTTTAATGTTCCTTATAAATTCTGTAAGCACAGACTTTCTAGTATTAATTTTATCGCATCAGTCCACGAACTTTTTGATAACCCCTCGTACATGTATATATAATGTAGTGCAGATATTCTACCACTCACACATTTTTTACCAAATACAAGACCAAACCGGTTACCTTCTATAAACAAAATAAATAAGTATAGTTACATAAATTTTGGTTAATATTCATTTTGCAATATTTTTATCTTTATCTTTTTCTAATGGACCAGTATTTAAACAGAAAAACTGCTTTACCTAAAGATAATGTTTACAAAATTCCAATTTAAAGGGGGGTGGGTGGACAACTGACACAATATAACACATTTATACCTACATCAACTTGTCTAATCATTAATCCATCTCTAATATCATTCAAATAAAAAATTACTGGCATGCTTCACTCATTTCTTCAGATAACGTAACATACACACTGTAATATGTTCACAGTAATAATTTCATCATTTGCTCTATAAAATTAGAATTAAAAAAGGACACATTCTGAGATTACATAAGCAAGATATTTACAATTTGGCCTCTTTAATTGTTGATTTTCTATCATGGATATGTACAAATATGATTGAAATGCCGAGCCATTCTATAATTACATGACGATTAAATCTAGTCTACTATTGATAAACTGGTTTTATTCACAATGAGGGATCGAGCCAAAAACAAACAAAAAAAAAATCACTAGGATTATTAACAATCCTTTCATTAAGCACATTGTAAAATGCAATATAAAATAAAAATGATTTTAAATTAATGAAAAAAGTGAACCTAAATTTTAATTACATTCTTAATGTATAACCTTTGAAATGGTGATATAAGTATAGCAATCCCTCACAGTCACCACTTACTAGGATATAGGCCTAACAATAGAGTACTGTATGCAGCTTTCACTTCTCTCAGGGTCATTTTCCAATTTTGTAATTAAAATCCATTTACATTTTTTTTCCCATTATTTTCCAGATTTGAAAACGACATAAATAAAGCTAGTGAATTGTAAATGATAAAGTGCAGACAAAGAAATTTCTCATTACTGTTGATTGTAATTAACATTATTTAGCTTTACTTCCAATAAGACATTTTTTTTTTTCAGGGTGTTTATGGTAATTATGTTTAAAATATGGATTTCAAACAGATAAAGCCAGAAAACACACACATTTAAAATGTGAAATGAACAAATTAATTAATGCACGAACGAGACTATTTGATAGTTCACACAAATTGACAAATGAATGTGTAATTCGTACCTTAAAATACCAAAATTCTTTGTGATATGCATTAGTGCATGAAAATTAATTAACAATTGGCTGAAAAGCTTACATTTAGTTAAAAATGAAAATTCCTTGAGAGAAACATGTGAAACTACAGTAATTGGTCAAAACAAATCAAAGACTGGAAAAAATCACTTTCTTTAACAATTACAATACAGTACTAATTAATTAGGCATCGGGGAGTTCCAATATAAATTATAAAGCACTTCCATTCAATCACAATGAATTGTGTCTCCTAATGTAACATTATAAAACATAAAATACATAAATAGACAATCCGTGAAGTACAAAATTATGGTGATCAATAGTTAAAAATTCAAATTTGTCTCATTTATATCAATGACTTTGTCATATTTTATACAATATTAACAAAGTAGCCTATTCATAATGCCAATATTACTTCCAAATAAAGATTTTCATTTGTAATAAAAATATATTTATACAACATAGTTTTGACTTTGTGCGAATTATAAGGAGAATCTGAATCATGTGTCAATCAATGATTTAAAATTACTTCCATTGTAAACCATTATTACCTGATTGAAGCTATTGCATTTAAGAGGAAATTTTCTTCAAAATATTTCTTTCAATTTCAAAAAAAAAACTCTGCAGCAATAATTATTTACATGCCCACTCTGATGTATAGTGAAGAGTTCTCTCCCTTTATTTCATCTTAAAGACTTTATATACTTCATTGTCACGATCAGTTAGTATTGCAACCTCCAAAGTAAAAAGAGGGAGAAAAGTCCTAGACCGATCATGGATGACAGGGACACTTCCAGCTGTGAGGCTCCTGATCCTCCAGCACTCGGACAATTGGCTCCTTGACACTCCATGGTTTCTGAAAATTTACAAACACACAGTTAGGATAGAAATAACGATGGAAAAGGTGCTAAAATACAGTTTTTTTTAATTTTATTATATACTGTTAAGTGTTAGCATTCATGTAGCCTCAATAATTTACTTACAACTATTTATCTTGCAAAACATGCAAAAAATTTCCTTATAAGTTTACCAATATCTCTAATTAAAATATGTTAAAAGTTGAACACAAAGTATGAGATCAATGTTTTCTAATTTTATATTAAATGTTATATTCTAGAGGCCTTGGATATTTATCCACTGAAAATTACACTGTATCAAATTCACAAACTTTACATACCAAACAATATGATAGTTGTTTCTCCATCTCCATATCTGTTTGTTCCCACACAATAATATTTAGTGTAGTCTTTAGCCTGCACATTTTTCACAAGCAGTGTGTACCAAAATTCATCATTCTGAAGCTGACTGCTAAACTGTTTGGTGATGTCATATTTATCATCGTCCGTAATTTCCGTGCGTTTTCCATTTTCTGTTTCCTTCATCCATCTCATGCTAGGCTGAGGAAATCCTGTTTCATAAAAGACAAAGCAAACCTATATTTCAGAATTGGAAAAAAACATTATTCAGAATGGACAAATGTAAATAAAGGGCAATGGAAAAAACGTTATTCAGAGTGGACAAATGTACGTAAATAAAGGGCAATGCATACTACCTAGACATTTCCAATTACAATGCTGCTGAATTTATTATACTAGCTATAAAAATTAGGGCTGGGATGATTATCATACATCTTTTTCCCTACTGGTACATATCAAGATATTTGAGCCACAATACAATATGTATTATGAAATGTTGAATTGCAGGGTTGGGATCAATTACTTTGAAATGTAATTAAATACTTTCAATTACATTGATAATTTTGTCAATTACTTGCAATTACAATTACATTGATTTTAACAAATGTATTTAATTACTCTCAATTACTTTGAAGAATGTAATTAAATACATATCAATTACTTAAGTTTTATTTCCAAAAATTTTGAAGAACAAATATACATGAATATTTTGAAGCAGCAATATTATTAAATTTAAACTTTCTTATTGCCCTGGGCAGTGTGTTTATGCTGTATAAACATCATAAGGCATTTAGTTATTGAATAAACACAAACTCATACCAAACAGTACTGGTATGCATTAATTGATAAATCACCTTTTTTAATATGTAACTTGAAAAATAAAGTATTTGAACTGTAATTGAAATGTAATTGAAAAATACATGACATTTTTGGAATGTATTTAAATACATTCAATTACTTGTAATTGAAAACAAACTCAATTACAAATACTTTCAATTACTTTGAAAAAATGTATTTAAATACAGTAAATTACAATTACTTATTTCAATTACCCCAACTCTGTTGAATTGTTTATAAAATCTTTTGTTTGTATTAAATGAACAAAACATTTCTTTACAAATAAGAATAATTTATTTAAAGAAGTTGTATATCTGTTGTAAAACAAAATTATTTTATATTTATATTTACTTATTTAGCATATTTATCTTACATATTAAACCCAAAATATTAAACAAAGAAAAACATAAGTAAGAATTTTTTTGCGATATAATGATATTTCTTCATGCATATCGATATGCCTATTGTCCTCACACAGAATCGATATATCGTCCCAGCCCTAATAATTATAGTGTTATAATCAATATGGAAGCCCCATTAATATACATGAATGAAGACAGTCTTGTTCATAAATTGTACTCAATATCTTAATTTATCTGAATGAAGTATATAAGCAATTTTGAGTTTTCTTCCTATACATCCACTAAATGTATGTTATAACCTACATCATTTTCCTATTATTAATTTCTTAAATGACCGTATTTCAGGGTTTTTACCTGCTACAATGCACTCAAGTTTAGCGTTAAATCTTCTGTTCTGTGCCTGACCCACTGTGGACTGTACTGGCCTGCAGGCGGGAGGGAAAAAGACGACTACTTCCACTTTGAAATCATCTGGAGGTTTGACATTATTATCAGCTACACAGATGTAGTTACCACGATCATTCTTCTGAATGTCGGTCAGATTCAACTGGGCTCCCTATAAAATGTTTTACATGTATATAAAGATCTACTACCATTCCAATAACAGCGTGTCAGTTTGCTTGATCAAGCATGCTTAACTTTAAATTCACACATTGATTACCATATTACGCATTGATTGGCTGGTTAGTTAAAAAAAAGTGAACTACTTTACATATAGAACACAGGATCCCCAAATACCCTCGAGAGCATTGACCATTCGCATCGAACACGTTGAATGATTTAATTGTTTACTACTGTCGAACACATACAGCAACATGCGGTCAGTCAAAGCCTGTTTTACTTCCTATATTACGTGTCATGTTCAATTGTGAATTGACAGGATAAAAATATTATAAGAACCTTTACATGAAAACTAGTAAAGCAACACTCCTATGAGTACCAGTACATTGGAGAAATTGAACATCTGCAAGTGATAGCTAAAAAATGCATATTACAATACGTTTGATTCACACAATAAAGTGCTAGAGATTCATTTCAGATGTTCAAGAAACTCTAGCATTTTGTTATTTGAATCAAATGTTGTAATAAATAAAAATCTTTAGAAGAAATCCACTTGTGACGTCCCTCTTTTGTTTGAGCGCTCCATTATTTTTCAGGAATGGAGAGTTACAAATTACATTGAAAATGGTATTTCCTATATTCAAATTCTCCTTCCAGTGCCTCTACCGGGGAAAGAGCTTAGAAAATTTTGTTATTAAGTTTATCTTCATATTAAGAAAAAAGCCAAATTGGTACCGCTGAGAATCGATCCCGGTACCCTCACCATTGACACTCATCTCACTACGCTATCGAAGCTGTTAAAGGTGTTGGATTTAAATTTCTTTATAACACTTCACTCGCCTTACTCTCTCTCTATATATATATTAAATCTACTAATATGTTGAATATATACTTCTTGTGTATATCTTATATATATTTTTTTATTATATATTAAAGTTGCATAATGAGTCAAAACCATTTGTTTCTTTGAAGAAAATTGAATCACAAAACAAAAGATTTCTGTGAAATATGAATATAGCAAAGTTTTGACAAATCAACTGCACTGTAAAGCAAGAAAAAAAACTGCAATATATAAGTACTGGAAAAACAAATGTTGTATCTATCGCTTTGTTTTTATTGTCAATGTCAACAATGTCAAGGTCACGCGTCCTTTCTTTTCAGCATGAAACTTGTAAACAACATTGAATTGGGGCAAGCAGAATTAAGGAATAAGTTATGATCATCTTTTTTTGAAGACTGTATCAAAATTCTCAGTCATCCGACATTTATATCTATGGAATTGAAACCATGGTAAATTCTTCAGCTTTTCAGCACATGCGTACAATAAAGAGGAAGAAGTGAAGCAATATTTTTGTGATGGGTTATACAAAGCTATTTTTTACTTTTATTTTCCTCCATTAAATTAGATTTTTTAGGTTCTGAAACCTGTAATTTTCTGAAACCTAGTATCTTCAAGAACTGAACAAAATTTGCATGTGTCATGCAAAAATTCTACTGTTTTCAATTTTCCTGTTTGTCCGTCACAGTGTCACTTTAACAAACAAACAATTCACAAACAATAATTACAAGCATTTAAAACAGTGGATTTTAAGTGGGTTAATATACTCGTAGCACTCCATTCCTTAAAAACAATTGTAGCACTCCATTTATAACTTTTAAGGAATGGAGTGCTACTTGTACATTAATCCTAACGGAATATCTAATCACAACATCATAACATGGTCTGGAAAAGGGAGATAAATGCGAACTTTTTTAGAAGTATGCATACAAACAAAAGTAATTTTTTATGACCTTTTCTGCATGACAATTAAATGCCACCATTTTTTTCCATTAACTAAAGATATTAATCAAAATTTCCATGAACTATACAGGTGTATGTATATATATAACTCTAGATTAAAACAAAAGAAGATTTCTGGTATTGATTGACACTTATTACAAAGAGACAAATGTTTACCCTTGACTGGAACCCTCCCATGGGCAATTCCTGACCATCTTCCCTCTTCCACGTGATGTTGGGTGACGGAATTCCATGTGACTCACAGACCAACTGAAGGTTAGATCCAATATCCAGTTCATAAGCTGAATTAATACTTGGCTGAATCTGGGGTGCAACTGGAAAACAATAATCTTGTTTTATCAGATTATTCAATCAGGAAAGACACAAATGATACAATACTTATAGCATAGATGTTATAATCTGTAAAATAATTCTAATAATTGTTCATACTGCAGTGTTATAATTTTCATATTATTTTTTATTGGTTCACTTCAAATATGAGTAATTTAAAAACAGAATTTTCAAAAGAAAACACAGCTATCCAGGACAGGCTTTAAAAGCCATGAAATTGGCAAACCAAACGTACACGTACATCTTATCAAAATTTTGTAATACCAATCTCACAGTTGGGAGGGGAGGGGAGGGGGGAACAAAATCTTGAGGTACGTATACTGTATGTGTACATGAATTGGCATATTCAAAATTTAGTGCAATCACTGGGTATGGAGTTGTTGGCGTAATCATGAATTAGTGCTACACATGTCCGTGCCATGTATTGTATTAATAAATGATTTTTTAGCGGTATTCATGAATTAGCACATAGTTGTCTGCATCAAAGCCGCTAAAATATGAAGCCCGTTTTTTTTAAGTATACATACAATACTCTTTAAGCATTAGGATTAGATGGCATAAGATTTCTTTTGTTTGAGGAACAAATTAGACAGAAATCATTTTCTACTTGGTGTTATTATGAATTACTTGTTTTTGAATTACAAGGTTTTCATTTGAATACCTGGTAAATATCACGTGGTTCTATAGAACCGGTCCCTTTAGCAAAGCTATATAAGTCTAGAGATGAATAGTTGTTCAAATACCAATCGTAGAGCACAATAAAAGTGTAAAATTTCATATTTATTCAATCCAACATTACAAAATACATGTATATAATTATGGATTTTCATATTTGACATGTTATATGTACATTGCACAGTAAAGCTGCTACGTGTCATTGCTATGTCCAAATAGTGTGTTGTTATTTTACGTTTATTTGAAAGTAATGACTGGAATTTATTGTGGAAACATCTTTTCATTATATAATAATTGACAAGAAGCTGACAAAAATACATTTACAGTATGATCACTTACTCTGCACCGTAAGCTTGCCAATCTTTGTAGGCCAGTCTGTCCACTCCACACCCTGGATCTTTATTGTACAAAGATAATCTCCAGCATCTTCTTCTGCTAGATAGCGAATCACTAACATGTAGGTGATTCTCCGTCCATTTGTACGACTCTGTACATCATATTTGTCCAGTCCTGAATCCTCATTTATTCCCTGATTATAGCCTACAAATAAACAATTTCTTACGTCAAGTATGCTATGCCTATACATAACAAGAGGCCCATGGGCCACATCACTCACCTGAGCACATTGACTAGGAAAAAGCACAAATCAGTTCAGTATTGAAAAGTCTACATGGGGGGGGGGGGGGGGATTTTACAAACTTGAATCTACACTACCCGATGATGCTTCCATATCAATATGACTAAATATGGCTTTGCTGTTCTTGAGAAAAAGATATTTTCCTTATGTTCCTATGTATAACTTTGATCCCCCATTGTGGCCCCACCCTACCCCTGGGGGTCCTAGTCATTTGAACAAACTTGAAACTATAACACCTGAGAAAGCTTCCATATCAATAAAACTTAACAAGGTTTTGCTGTTCTTGAGAAGAAGATTTTTAAAGATTTTTCCTATATATTTCTATGTAAAACTTTGATCCCCCATTGAGACCCCACCCTATCCCCAGGGGTCATGATTTGAACAAACTTGAATCTACACTATGTAACAAAGGTTTCCTATAAGTTTCAACTTTTTGAGCCAGTACTAGTGGTTCTTGAGAAGAAGATTTTTAAAATATGCCTCCAAAAATTCACTATTTCTGAATTATCTCCCCTTGAATAAAGGTGTGGCCCTTCATTTGAAAAAACTTGAATCCCCTTTACTTAAGGATGATTTGTGGCAAGTTTGGTTGAAATTGGCCCAGTGGTTCTGGAGATGAAGTCGAAAATGTGAAAAGTTTAGAGACGGACGGACAGTACGACAGACGGACTAAAGACAAAATGTGATCAGAAAAGCTCACCTGACTTTCAGCTCAGGTGAGCTAAAAACAGGTTTGAATGTCAAGTATGCAGATCTTCCCTGTTTGTAATCTTCAAACATTTCACACCTACTCTGTCTTGTTTATGCCTGGAATCACTAACACAGAGTTATTGTGTTGATATGTCTCTCATCCTTGCATGTACTGTATAAGTGGAAAACACTGCGGTGGTTGTTTGTGAATGGGGCTTTATGTGCCAGTGGGCATGAACAGGATAGGATAGGTGAGGTTGTTTGTGATCATAAAATTTTCCGTGAACATTAAGTCATTGCTTATAGTGTCAATATATCATTGTAACATTCAAATCAAATACAATTACATTCTATAAACCTTAAAACCCTGTTTTCCTTTTCCAAAAAATTGTAAAATTATTAAGTATCCCCACTTTTGCTAAAGGGGGGATGTAAAGTTCAAAACTTAAAAAATATTGTCCTACCCAAAATTTCCTATGAATTCAATTTGAATTCAACAAGAAAAACAAAATTTAATCTGCACACTGAAATGAAAATCTGAACAGAATATTTGATACATTAGAATAAAAAAGTTGAGGCCCTGTGAGCACTGAGCTCACAAAATGATACCCCCTCCCATATGAGTATAATGACAAAGTCCATTGTTTGCTATATGAAAGCCAAAATAGCTGTCGGATCAAAACATAAAGTAGAAGATATACAATGACACTATGTAAATTATAGATTCTGTGAAAGTCTCATTAAATTTTATTCAGTGGTATAGGAGGATTTGTGGATAAGAGATGGGTACCCCCAATATTATAGGAAGATTGGCAGTGTCCATGTTTTGCTATGGGAAACCTGAAATATATATATATGTTTGATCAAAAAGTAAAGTAAGAGGAGCATAATGGCACTGTGTAATAAAAATTCTGTGAGTGATCATTAAGTTTGTTTAGCAGTACATGCTAATAAAAAATTACTCTCTGTTAAGGTAGGATTTTGTTGTTTTTTTTTCACATAAAAACATAAATTTTACTCATTTTTAAAGACAGTTTGAAGCATATTCTCTTAAGCCATTAATTAGCTCACCTGAGCCAAAGTCTCAAGTGAGCTTTGTCTGTTGTCTGTAGTTGTTGTCATTGTAAACTTTTCACAATTTCATCTTCTTCTCCAGAACTACTGGGCCAATTTCAACCAAACTTGGCACAGAGTATCCTTGGGTAAAGGGAATTCAAGTTTGTTCAAATGAAGGGACATACCCTCTTCCAAGGGGAGATAATTACAAATTAGTGAAAAAAATGGCATCTTTTAAAAATCTTCCTCTCATTTTAGAACCACTGGGCCAGAAAAAATGAATCTCATGTGTAATCATCCTTAGGAGGTGTAGATTCAGGTTTGTTCAAATCATTACCCCCGGGGGTAGGGTGGGGCCACAATGTATGATCAAAGTTTTACATAGGAATAATTTATAGCAAAAATCTTTAAAATCTTCTTCTCAAGAACAAAGCCATGATTGGTCTTATTTATATGGAAGCATCATCAGGTAGAGTAGATTCAGGTTCAAATAATGACCCCGGGGGTATGGTGGGGACACAATGGACAATCAAAGTTTTACATAGGAATATAGAGCAAAAAATTTTAAAAATCTTCTTCTCAAGAACAGCAAAGCCATGATTTGTCATATTTATATGGAAGCATCCTCAGGTGGTGTAGATTCAAGTTTGTTCAAATCATGACCCCCTGGTATAGGGTGGGGCCACAATGGATGATCAAAGTTTTACATAGGAGTATATAGGAATTTTTAAAAAAATCTTCTTAAGAACAGCAAAGCTATTATTGGTCATATTGTAAGCATCCTCAGATAGTGTAGATTCAGATTTGTTCAAACCATGACCCCCTGGGGGTAGGGTGGGACCATAATGAAAGTTCAAACTTGTAGGGAAAAAAGTCACAGTTAGACAAAGAGATATGTAAGCATTAAGCATCTTTAGTTAGTGTAGATTCAATTTTGTTCAAATCATACCCTACCCCCTTAGGGGTAGGTTTTGACCACTTATGCATTAAAGCTTTTTGATATTGAACTGATTTGTGCTTTTTTCTTAGCCACAGTGCTCAGGTGAGCATTGTGGCCCAAAAGAAAGATATTTTATAAGTAAAATGCATCCAATTTTAGCATAGCTTTCGGGGGGAAAATTGGACAAACGTTTTTTTTAAACTTGACCAATTGATAAATGAATAATAGATCCAACTAAGAGTTATCTTTCTTATCAGAGTATCATTGATCCTTAAACGTTAGATGTGACCTATAAAATGTTACATTTGAAGGACATGCAATTTCTGGATTTCACAAGGAAAAAAAAAATATTTGGGTTTGCACATAAAATAAGGGTCAGTCAGGTAACTGTGAACAAACATATTATTTTCTGCAGTCTAAAATAAGAAGAAATTTAGTAATTAGATTAAGGCACTCTGTCTGAAGAGAACTTTCTCTTACCTTGATAAACTATTTTATCATCTTCACTTAACAAAATAGGGTTTCCTCCATTAACTGTTTGTGACTTCGTCCACTGAACCTACAAAAGAGTATATTCCATAACATTCAATAATCAACTATTTGTACATTATACAGTACTTGGTAAAACAGGGTTGTCCTTAGGACCCAGGGAATTTCCTCGCCTATAATGACGTAATCCCCTGGTTACTCTAGTATTCCTTCTCATCCCCCTGTTAAGAGAGGAACCTGAGATCCCCTTCTACTTTTTTAAGGTCCCCTGCTATTTTAATTCTTAGGGACAACCCTGGTAAAATTATAGACATATTAAGCTGTTATAATGATGATACAAACTTCCATGAAAAAAAAGGGTCTCCTGAGTCCCCTCACTTAATATCTACCAAAATTTAATTACTTGATAACACCAGTCATAAGTTTAATTGCTTGTGTAGCATATGTAAGCTCATTCAAGTATCAGTTTTCAGAGAAAAACGCTAATTTGATAAACTTATTACAACTCTGAGCCCTGGTTAACTATATACCACAGACTGAGCCCTGGTAATAACTACATATCACATACTTTGAGCCCTGGTTGATTATATACCACAGACTGAGCCCTGGTTGACTATATACCACAGACTCTGAGCCCTGGTTGACTATATACCACAAACTCTGAGCCCTGGTTGACTATACACCACAGACTCTGAGCCCTGGTTGACTATATACCACAGACTCTGAGCCCTGGTTGACTATACACCACAGACTCTGAGCCCTGGTTGACTATATACCACAGACTCTGAGCCCTGGTTGACTATACACCACAGACTCTGAGCCCTGGTTGACTATATATCACAGACTCTGAGCCCTTTACCAGTACTTTTATACCACAGACTCTGAGCCCTTGTTGACTACAATACGTTCTATTTCCATTAGTGAACTCTTCAAAATCAGAGGTGCGTTTGGTCGTCTGACAGGGACAGCATGGCGTTGTGGATAATACAAAACATGCCAATCTTAATCCAGTTTTACAGGTTAAATGTATTTGTCATTCCAATTAAAGAAAAGAAGAACTAAAAGACATATGTAAGAGAGCGAGAACCCTAAATTTATCATCCATCAATAAAAAATAGGACATTTCCGAGGCATGTGTATTGTATTTAGAGGTACCAAACGATAAATAGATACATACGATCAACAATAGATATAAATTGATATCGTTGTCATTACTACTCTTGATGTATATAAAGTCCACAACAATAAAATATTTCATTTGCATTTTCTTAGGATTTGTTCATCGACATTCAACATATTGTTTACATGTTTATGTTACGTTTGTCCCAGAAATCCCACGAGATTTGTACTTTTTCCGACTTTTTCACAAAAGAGCGCACTAAGAAGTATAACTCTTCCATAGTGGAAATAGAACCTATTACCAATTAGATCTCAGCCCTTCTTGACTATTTAACACAGACTCTGAGCCCTTGTTCACTACCTACCACTGACTCTGAGCCCTTGTTCACTACTTACCACTGACTCTGAGCCCTTGTTCACTACTTACCACTGACTCTGAGCCCTTGTTCACTACCTACCACTGACTCTGAGCCCTTGATCACTACCTACCACTGACTCTGAGCCCTTGTTCACTACGTACCACTGACTCTGAGCCCTTGTTCACTACGTACCACTGACTCTGAGCTCTTGTTCACTACCTACCACTGACTCTGAGCCCTTGTTCACTACATACCACAGACTCTGAGCCCTTGTTCTCTACTTACCACTGACTCTGAGCCCTTGTTCACTACTGTACAGTTCAGGTATCCTATTTGATTCTTTTGCTTAACCTCAGGTAGAATTTCATCTACAATATCTGGTCTCTGCGCATCAACTGAAAAACATTTGCAATACTGTCATTACTCCAGGAAAAAACAAAAATATTTTTCTTTTTGTACAAATAAATTTCTGTGTAATCTAAATATCATTTGGTAAAGAATTTTATATTTCTTATATAGGTATCATATACAATTATACATGTATATTTAGGAAGAAAGATCACAAGGGATATCATGAATCTTTAGAGAGAGAAAAAGATGCACACAATTATGCTAAATTGTATGTTTTGAAAAAAAAATTAAAGGCCCTTTATTATGTTTATTAGGGACTATCATGCTATATCCCTTAACATGACTTTATATTTAATTGTTCTCAGTACAACAATGTAGCATACAAATGTAGCGCCTATAAGGCTCCTAAAATACCAGTAATACAATTGACATCTAACCCAGTTAATCTCAACACAAATAAATCAGATGATCAATATACACTACATAGACCAAACTGCTAAGGCACCACCAAAGAAAATTAATATTTTACTTTTCAAAACTTGTTTATGATGTACTTAAATAAAAAAAAAAATGAGGCATATAAATGTCTTAACTGATAGATAACTACATGCAATGTTAACAAAAGCGTAACCATTCCATTAAAAAAATGAAAATCCTGCCATTGCTTTTTTTTTAAGGAAATAGTTTCTTCTTCTTTTTTTTTTCTTTGTGTTTGTGATTTTTATGTTTGTACCAATTAAAAACTCAGGAAAAAAATTACACTGTATGCAGCATTTGAACCTAAAAGAGCATGCTAACGCAGTCAGTATGGTATCTGCAGGGGGGTTCTTTGGAGAAATGTGTAAAGAATTAAAACAAATAAAAAAAAATCATTCTTCTACAGGGTTTGACACTAAGGCACGTCCGACCAACCCAGTCTAGTAGATGAGTGGTCCGGTCGTGTAAAATGTACGTGAACTAGACCGATTGGTCGTGTTAATAAAATTACTGTTAAAACCCATTTCAGTCTTTCAAATAAATATTCCAAAAACTTTTAATTAAAAGAATTTTTCTTAATTTTTCTGATTGTAAACACAGCTATCGCTCTGTAAAGAAAAAAAATCCCTGTATGATACAATCGCTATTATTAGCCATGGCTGTAATAGACAAGCCGCGGTAGAAACTAGCGTCATTAAGTATGAATATGGTATAAATATAGTTCCTGAAAAAATATATTCTGCAATTAATTTATTAATATTTAGGATAAAAAAATTATTAAAGTTCGTTGAATGATCTTTATATAAAGCTTAAATTACAATACTCGCATGTCTTGATGAACCCGACTCAATTGGCTAGTTTGAAACAATTTCAAAATTACCTCGTTAAAATTAGCGATTTAAAAAAAATTGCAGGTTTGCTCAGGGCTAGCGATTTTATGGTCAGGGCTAGTAAAAATTATTGGAAGTAGCCCGACTGGTCTAGATCTCATAAAAGTTAATGTCAAACCCTGTTCTAGTAAAAAATTGTTGCTAATAGATTAACAAACATAAAAATGTTTACTATAGATAGCCATGGCATTAAGTAAGCAGAACAAGATAATTTCAAGATTGTTCTACAAAATTGGGGCAACTGGAAGTTGGGTGGACTGGGTATGGACACCAAAGCACTGGATGACTACTAGGCAGTATGATAGTCAATTGCTGTAATATATTATTTGATTTTTAACTGGGAGACCGTGCTTCTGTTGCAACCTCATGGACGATCATCGGTAATCACCAACTTCATATCTGGACAAAAACTGTGCGCCTGGTGCACGATGGATTATTGATTTTTAGGCAAGAAGGTAATTTAGGGTCTTGTCATGACGCCAATAAGACATTTGTCAATCTCACTGCATTGGAAAAGACGTATGGCATATTAGATACACTAGTACCGATTAGGCAAATGTTTAGTTCACAAATAAGAATAACAAGTGATGCATTAGCAATTAATTTGTCTTAATAAGTATAGATTTATATACCTAGCTTTTTAGCATTCCCTTTAATTCTTCCCAAAGAATTTCACTTTTGGCAATTATGTAACCCATACTATGAAGAACATGCATGAAGAAACAGCAGTTTACATGCAATAAAACTTGCATATAAATCAAAATTTACCTATTCCATTTTACAGAATTATCCCCACATAAAGTAAAGTGGTATGTATACTTTGTCTCAATCTCTGATCAGATTCACGTCTAATTTTTTATCTATACCATGTTATAATATACCTGATCTTTAAAACAAGACTTAAAGGACTTATCGCATGTTTCTAAATTATTTGAAATTAAAGGCGTAAAACGTTCCTTATGACAACAGTTTATAAATTTTGTGTTTTTACTGGGGATAAACCGCGGTAATAAACCAATTATTGACTCAAATGAAAATCCCTGAATTAAAAATCTAAGTTAATTAGATAGCGATCACGTGACCCTGTGACGTCAAAGGCGACAATGGCTGATCAGCTATTCACGTAAATCTTACTAAAATATACGCGATACAACCTGAATTTTCTGCGTTTTGGATGACCAAATCACTGTATTTATCGTTATGAAATTTAATATCCAACCTTATATTTTAGAATTGTCAGCAAGAAATAATCTGAAAAATCCGTTAACATTGTAAAAATAGCAGCGACGATAAGGAGGGAGATGCGGCGAAGACGAAGAAACTCGCCATCACAATACAATTTGATTTGTCATTTTATTACATGCATTAACTTATTTGATTCACAAATTTAATATTAAATAACTTTGTTATTCTTCGTTTTTAACATAATATTAATTTATGCAAGTATGCTTTCATATGTTTTGTAAAGGATGGCGGTCTTGAAAAATAATTTTCCGATCACGAAACATTGCCGTAATCAGACCAACAGATTCTAAATGTTTGGAATAAAAAACGAAAATATCTCAAAATTCTTATACATTAGAACTAGTTAATGTTTCTATAGTAATTGAAAATCACGTTAGGAATTAATTTTTTCAGCATTTTTCATAATTAAGCTGCATTTGTCGTTGATAACTTCGTAAATAGTGTGCAACTTCTCTTCTCTCTATCACTGAATTGTCGCCTATGACGTCAGAGCAGTATTTCGCCGAAATCCGACTGAAATATGCATATTGCCGTATTTGAATTTCAACTCTCAATATCTCTTAAAATATGCCTTCAACAACGTTTATTGTATTCAGAATTTTAATAAACAAGGTTGTAGATAATCTTTTTCATAAAATTAAGATTTTTGAAAAATCATGCGATAAGTCCTTTAATATTCATGATATAGTCACCATATTGTGTGTGTATTTTTTTAAAATCTGCCATCAGTATTAACAACATATTATAAATCAATGTTAATTAAAATTTAAATTTCCTGCCAAACTTTCGATCTGATTTTAATTAAGAGAGTTTTTTAAGAAGGCATAACTTGTTCTGAATAGTTTTCCTCTTACATCAAGAATCATCCTTTCCAACGATCTCAAACACGGTATTTTTACTTTGTTTATACTTCCGATCCACCTCTCCATACAAGGCGTACCTGAGCCGAATACGGTAAATTATAAATCAAAAAGATTCCACAGTGTCTTTATCCATTTCTTAACCCCTACTCACCAAATGTAGTCGATATTCCAATCAATACAACAATAAGACTCCACAAGTTTACCATCTTCTCGATCGTTCGTAAATTCAAATGGTTGTCCACCATTTTTTTGCAGGTAAGAAAATGAGTCACGTGATCAAGGTAATAACAAGTAAATTCCAGAGGAGTGTGACATGGTTATATAAATAATTTAATGTAATACAGTGGCGGATTTAGAGGGGGCAGGTGATTTGTCACAAATAAGGAACAGATTTTTTTTAAATATATATATACTAGATGAAATTTCGCGCAAGCGCGTGGAATTGAATTTATACCACTACCGACGGAAAAATTCCAGTAATATATGTATTGTAGTTTCTACTCTTATAGCAGGAAGAAATACTTTGTTCAGAATCCTGCATGAAGATATATATAGGGCTTGTCTTCCGTATTGTTAAATGTAAAATAAAAAGTAATAAAATTTTGAATCTACTTTAAATACACTTAAAAGTTGTTAAAATAAAGACTCTGACACTTTCAGTCAAGAAAAAAACACGTTTAAAAAAAGACGCACTACACCTATATGTACATAAACTCTGCATAGTTTATGTATATACGTATGGTACGTCATTTTTAAACGCGTTTTTTTTCTCTTGACTGAAAGTGTCAGAAATTAAACTGATCCCAACCAGAAATTTTGTAATAATTGGAAATAGATAACATTTTCATAAGAACACTAGTTTGTTTAGGTGTAATACAGGTTAAAAAGTATTTGAACTTGATAATCAAATAGATTTCTAAGTGGTAAATACAAAAAGAAGGCAGTAAATTATTATTTTATTATTTTGTAATAATTTTGAACGGGATCAGTTTAATTTTGATCGGTATTGGTCCAAATATTAAAATAATTATTTTCCCCAAAATTTCTCAATTTCATTTCGATTTCTTTTTCTTTTCTTTTTTTTAAATATGATTGAGTAACATATTCTCCCTAGTTGTGACTAGTTTTATGAAGATTTTAACCATTAGGTTTAAAAAATATTCACAAATTATGTGTTTTATTTTCATAAATATTTTTTTATTTAAAAATTTTAAATGTCTATCCAGCCTTTATTAACATATTTATAATACACATTCATATTATGCATTTATTAATAGCAAATTTTAAACCATAAAGAATCTAATTTGCAAATAAAATATTTTTTTTTTCATTTTCTCTGAAAAAATGCAAAAAAAAAAAAAAAAAAAAAAAAAAAATCGTATAAATTAATTAAAAGCTAATATCGGTCTTTCAATGCTGAAACCATAGTTTAAAAAGGATTTCTTAAAGATCTATGAAATAAAATTTTCGTGTGGCATTCCTCCTGTCCAGTGAGTTTTAAATCTCCTATAAATAGTACTATGGGCAAAAGTTTGTGATTTAAATATCTACATAGGTAAACTTATTATGCCAGACAGTTTGGACATTAAATGTGACACCAGGCCCCCTCCCTTTAATTTGTGTCCAAATATATACGTAAGATTTAATAAATCATTTTTTTGTGAGACCCCTGGCCCCCCATCGCGACCCCAAACGGATCGCCCTTTTTTCTCAAGAATCCTCGATCCGTCACTGTTGTAAATGATTTTCAACAAAGGAAAGTAAACCTAAGTTTAACAATGACAGCAATTTTCGATTTTTACCTGAAAGGGCGTGGAGTTTAAAGTTGCATGCTGTTCAGATCGAACTTCTTCAACACTTTTATGATGACGTATAAAAATTAAACAAAGACTATATAGCCATTATTTACCTATTGTTTTGTGAAAGACAGCTGACTATAGGGTGGGTTCCATTTACTTTTGTCGGAAATTAAAAGGAGGGGGGGTTAAGACAGTAAGTGTAACAGGAGAGGATAGAAATGCGACGTACCAGACCGGGATTCGAACCCCGGCCCCCTGAATCTTCAGTCATGTGTTTACCAACTGAGCTATCAAACCACCGGCGATCGAATCCATCTGACCGCCACATTCCTCCCTCCTTAAATGTCTTCGGCCCCCGAAGACACCAACCCAGGCTCTTCCCTGGCAGGTCTTTCACCTGTCAATTTCATGGTCACGGCACCAAATGTAACGGGGAGGAGAAAAATGCGACGGACCAGACCTGGATTCGAATCCCCCCACCCCCCACATGAATCTCCCGTCATTGTGCTCTACCACCTGAGCTATCAGGCCAAGCGACAGAACCAGTCTGACCGCCACATAAGAGTATGTCGCAAACCAGGATGTAGTTAAGTATTATACATCAACTTATTTTAAACAAGCATTCTGAGAGTATTGCATTAGCAATACTAGTCCCCTACCGGCAAGTGTAATCTGGTTCCCGTAAAAATTGAAAATGCCATAATTCAGACAAAAATTGATGAAGCGGGACGAAATGCAAACTTGATCTATAAGTAATCAAGGTAAAGCCACATACCAAAAATCAGCTCTATATCTACAAGCGTTTAGAAGAAAATTGCGGAAAACCCGTAAAAAATGAAAAGGCCGTAATTCCGTCAAAAATCAATGAAGCGGAACGAAATGCAAACTTGATCTGTAACTCATCAAGATACACTCACATACCAAATATCAGCTCAATATCTGCAAGCGTTTAGGAAAAAAGTGCGGAAAACCAAGTGGGACAAACTGACAGACAGACAGAGGGACAGACAGACAGACGGACGGACAGACTCAGAGGAAACCTATAGTCCCCTCCGGTTTCACCAGTAGGGGACTAATAAGGAAAGTTCGCATATTGGTTCCTGATGTCGCTAAGACATACAGCTAAAGAGACTGAGTTGTTTGTTTCTTTTTTTGCTTTATTTTTTTAATGTCTATTGACACAATTATGACATAAGACATTTGTATTGCGCAGCAGATGTTATTGTTACTTTTTTTAAATATAATATTATGAATGATTAAGACTAGCTATAGAGGCTCCGGACCATAAAACTTAGACGAGTTCACGTTTGATCTCGGTCTCGCTTTTACATAAGGAATTAATTGTAGAAAAGTGAGACTGAGTTAGATCAAAAGAAAGCTCTTCTATGTTTTATGGCACCGGAGCCAGTTCTCCCATTTTGATAAAAGATGTCAGCAGCAAGTAAATAAATATAATAATTAAAAAAACATAACAAAACACACACACACACACACCCTCACACTCTTATCGTCAACATAAAATTTTTTGAAAATTATGTGAATTTAGAGCAGAGGTTCATACTCCTTATATTTGGAAAGTAATAAGCTAATGTGTTTGGATGCACAATTTGTAGATTTTTACACGAAAGCATTTTAATGTTATGATGCGGGGTTTTTCTTAAAACATGGAAGAATATATGGTTAATTGACCTTTGCCCATTCCGTTTATAGATTGCAGGGTTGTAAAGCTCTGTTATTTTCAGTACTTGAGAGAGTTTTTTCTTGAAAATATCACCGATTTCAAGTGATTAAAAAAGAATTCAAAGAAATATTTGTACTCAAGATTCCATTCTGCTTAAAGTTAATGGTTGGCATACTCATTATGAATGTTAAAGAATATATTGAAACAATATGATGAGATGTATGTTTTATCCATTGCTGAATCGACCAAAATTAATGTTAAGTGGTATGGTACAAGATTTTGGCATTTTTTTTTTCAGAACAGCATCAGGTTGGACTCAAAAACTGAGGGTTCAATTCAAGGAAAGAATACATTTTTTATTCTCTTATTTTTTTATAAGCAGCGAATGGTCTCTTTTGAACCAAAGCTTTCCACGTATATTTTCTATTTAAACATGCACCAAACCTTTGCATTTTTGACGGTCTTAAATATTTTGGAGTTACTTTAAGGAGGGATTCTTGTCTGGTTTCTGACTAGATGAAATATTCAAAGTATATTTGCTCATATGTCTTATATATTTAGATGTAAGGGATTTAAAAGATTATATTTTTCTTTCCTCAAAATAATTGTACAACTTTAAATAAAAATGGTAGACTAAGTTTGGCATCTAGCAGGGACTATATTTTTGTCGGAACGGCGGCGTATGAAAATATCTCCTTTTCTGCTTCTCAAAATTACTATAGAACAATGAATTTAGTTAAAAATTTTAAACAATCAAAGACCTCAAGAATTTCAAATGTTTGTAAAATTAATAATAATGGACTGAAGTTTTAAAATATATCAAATAAATATGATTTCCCAAACAAACTACAATTTTGTTAACTTTTAAATGCTTCCAATCTAAGTACAGATTTAAGCAAAAAATCCGTTAAAAGTGTTTTTTCTCTCTTAGTATACGGTTAAAACTTTTTGTTTCTGTGTCAATTTGTATTTTTATATGACTACTTTACCATATGTGAGAATAAGAAAAATTTGCATAACCAAAGCATATAAAAAAAACTAATAAATCCTAAAAATCTCAGAAAAATAGAGGGAATTCGGATTAGCCTATATCTATTTAAGTTAAATTATTTATGTCAATTTGGTAGTATCATCGACCCTATATGGTAATATCTTTTTATGCAAAAAGAAAAAAAAATTAATCTTTTGAAATAGAAGAAGGCATCCCATGATTGGCAACAGTATTTTTTTTTATTCCTAGGGTCAAGGAAAAAGATAATGACCTTGACCTGACATTGCTTTTAAAATAAAACAGTCAAATTTAATCTAATTGATACCATCACTTAATGATGTCTTCTTCAATCTATGAAAATTTCACATTAATTTTTAAATACTAGAAATATGAGAAGAATCCCTCCCTAAATAACGACGGAAATCGGTACATTAAAGTATCTTTAACAAACAGAAAATTCCAGATCCGTCAGAGCAAGACACGGACACTTGAGATTTAGTCGAAAAGTCATATCCTTAATAAAAAATCTCTTCTTACAAGGAAGAAAATGTGTCTGTTTTGAGAGCCCCTTCACCGAAAAGATGGTGATAAACAACTGACATGGTTGTCTCTAAAGAGCTAGGTTCACTTTATGTATAAAATGGCCCTGTACTTATATCAATTAATTGACTATCACCCTCTGTTCCATTTCATATATCAAAATAAAGTAGAGACTTTGTTCTTTTATTTCCTATAATAAAATTTCTTTTTAAGAATTCAGGTATTGGAAAAGAGGCTTTGTGAAAATGCAATGTTCTTGA